TCTCTCCCTCACACTCACACTGTGCTCTCCTCTCACTCAGCCCTCAGATACACTGTGCTCTTCTCTTTCTAGTTTACTGTGAGCACAGCAGGTCTCTGCTGTCCTTTACAGGAATACTCAAAACGACTGTCTCTGTTGACAGGGTACATTTCTTCTTCCCTTCTCTCATTTACCCACCCCATCAGGGTTTTACCCACAAACTGCTCTTGTTTTGCCAGTGCCATGATCAAGTCTCAAAGCTCCTCTGATGTGACAGGTCAGCAGTGTCTGAGAGGATAGGTGTTTCCCTCCCCCTCACCCGCTTTATGCACTTGGCCCCAGGGAGCTACACTCTTCAGGTTCTCCAAGGCCTCACTCCCTCTTGGCAACAGGGGAGAAGGCCCAGCAGTGTTCTGTGGCTTGTGAGACCACCTACACACTGATGTCCTCCAGATTTCCCCTCCTCTCACCTTCTTCCCGCAACTCCAAACTCAGCCATCACTGCCACCATGAGCTAACCCATAGGGACAGGACCAAGACTTCCCAAACTGAACTCCTGCTCTCCCTCTTAAAACTACTTACGCTTTTAGCATATTAATGTGGAAAGAGACAGACAGGCTAATTGAAGATTTTATTTCTTCTTTTAAATGATGCTCATCCATTAATTTGTGACGTACCTGTCATAAAATGGAACGGAATATTAATTTGAATAAACAGATGATTAGGTATGGATTCAGACTTTGTGTAGCTGTTATTTCACTAATATTCCTCTTTCAAAGTTAATATTCGCAATTAGCAAGTATCTTTTCACTATGCTTTATAGTTTGTTTCTCAGATATAACAAGCTGATTCCCATATACATAAAACTTAATAGATGATGAATGCTTTTCAAGCGCATCTTATAGTAATTGCTTGTATCTTTCCAAATTTTCCATTAACTTCTTTTTTTTATTCAATGCAGTTACAGAGGTAATAGTCCAAGGGTAACAATGAAGGAAAAATGTTCTGTTTTGTTTTCAAAATTTCATGGCTATCTATAACCTTATACCTGATGAATGGGTATTTCTTTAAATATGGATTTATATTTGCCTTGTTTATGCATGTATGATGTATATAAATATGTATGTACTTAGATTGATGGGCTTATTCACTGTTTCTATAAGTAGTTTTCTGAGAAATGACTTGTATGAAAATCACTTCTGATATCCACGTTTTTTAACATGTCACTTTACCATAACAGAGAATATCTGCCGATATTTCTGTGGCACATTAGCTTTTATGAACGGTGCTGCAATGGAACAAAACTTAGCAGCTTCCTCGTTTTTTCCAGCGTCCAGATAACACTCAATAAGTTCCCTGTACAATATAAAAATGGCAGTCATTAAGCTTTGTTAAAACGTTTTCTTCTGCATATGTCTAGTAGTCAGTTTGTTACACTTTTATAACTTTCATGTTTCAAAAATTTTAGATAGATACACTGAGGTTGACCAACTCCTTAATCTGTAACCACAGAGTCTGTGGCTCCCCAGTGCCGGCCATTAGGAGACAGGAAATCTACTCTTCTGCCAGCAAGAGGGAAAGGGAATTACTCACATTTCAATTACCTGGGACATTAAAAAATAATATTTTAAAGAAAGTTCACATTTTATATTTCTTCTCCTTTTAAAGCTCGTCAAATTGCCATACGTCTGTAGAACCTGGCTTCTGACTTGGGTGTGCTCCCTCGCATTGGAATAGTCAATGATTTCCCTGGGACGCATCCTCTCATCCACTGTCCTGCATCTGGTGTCACCCCAAACACAGCTACAGCCTGCCCGATGCCTGTCAGCCTCCAGGCACAAGTACCATGACACGTGCTGCAATCTCCCGCTGTGGCTTCTCAGATGCCAACCCTCGGCCTGGCCCTCTACTGTCAAGGGTGGGCGTGCGGCCACTTCCCCAGGTGAGAGCCCACCTGTGCACCAGCATGTTCGTGTTCACACTGGCTTATTTTTATTTTGCTGAAATGTTGATTACTCTATTTTCTGAGCTGAGTTTTTAAAACCGTGAGCCAGGGCCAGGGACTCGGGGTCCCTCCCACCCCGCTTGGCGTCTAATTGCTCTTCATTCTGTCGTGATATTCATGCAATCACCGCACTGCAGATGCTGCTTACAGGGTTTCCATTTTTAGAAACGCCCTTCAGACAAGATACAAAACTCTTAATTCTACTGTAGAACAGACAGCACATGACACATTTCCTGGGATGTGAAATGATAATCTAAGCGGGAGAGAGTCGGCAGGAAGGCTGTCTGCGAAGGGCCTCGTCTTCCAGGACAAGGGGAGACTCTTTATCAAGGGACCCAAAAGAAAGAGCAGTGATTCTCTTTTCCAAGATAATGCCAATAAACATCAGTGGGGAAAAGGAAAGCCTTTTTGACCAACGGGACTGGAAAACAGAATATATCCACAGGGAAAGAAACGAACCTGAACCCATACTTCACATCTCATACAGAGATTAGCTCAAAATATAAGAGCTAACACTATGAAGCTTCTCAAAGAAAACAGAAAAAAACCTTCACAATCTTAGGGAAGACAAAGATTTCTTACATAGGATACAAAAATCACTAACTGTAAAAGGAAACAAATGGGTAAATTAGACTTTATCAAAATTAAAAATTGCTTTTCTTCAAAACACACTATTATGAAAAGGAAAAAGCAAGCCCCACAGCAGGAGAAAATGTTTTCAGTACATATATCTGCCAGAAGACTTGTATCAAGAATATTCACAACTCAGTGAAAACAAATAACCCAATAAAACACAGGTAAAAGACCTGAAGAGTCACTTCATAAAAGAAAATACACAGATGGTCAACAAACATGAGAAAAGTTGCTCAGCATCTTCAGTCATCAAGGAAATACAAATTAAAACCACAAAGATACCATTTCACACTCATCAACATGATGAAGATAGAAAGATGACCACCACCAAACGTTGGCAAGGATGTGGAGCAACTAGAATTCGCACACGTTGCTGGTGCTGGCGTCCAATGGTACAGCCTCTTTGGAGACCATCTGGCTGTTTCATAAATACTTAAATATACATCTACTCTATGAACCAGGAATTCCACTCTTAGGTATATACCCAACAGAAATAACAACATGTTCACACAAAAATCTAAACATGGATGTCTTTAGCAACCTTATTCATAATCGATTCAAAGTGGAAATAACCCGAATGTCCTTCTACAGGTGAGTGGATAAACAAACTGTGGTATGTCCATACAACGGAATGCTACTCGGCAATAAACAGGAAAGAACTGCTGGCAACAACATGGATGAATCTCAAGGGCATTATGTTGAATAAAAGAAGCCAAACACAAAAGGGACCAGGCTGTAGGATTCTATTTATATGGAAATCCAAGAACAAACAAAACTACTCCCTGGTGAGAGAAATCAGAAAATGGCTGCTTAGGGGTCAGGGAGGGAACTCTCCAGGTGAGGGAAATGTCCCATATCATGTTTGACATTTGTCCAAACTCACTGAATCTCTAAGAGTTGTGCATTTTATTAACTTAATTACACTTCAATTAAAGATAAATTTTTAAATCCCTAGGAGGATAAAGTAGCCCTGGTGGCACAGTGGTTAAGAGCTTGGCTGCTAAGCGAAAGGTTGGCAGTTCAACTCCACCAGCTGCTCCTTGGAAATCTTATGGGGCAGCTCTACTCTGTCCTGTAGGGTCACTGTGAGTCACAATCGACTCGACGGCAACTGGTGGGAGGATAAAACCTCCGTGTGGTGCCATGTTTTGATTTTCCTTTCAGTGACTGGGGATACTGGTGACTTCCTCCCCCTGCCAGCCTTCTAGTGTACCAAGACTTGACTGTCTACAGACCTGGGGACACAGGTATCGTTAGAATTAAAAACCAACGTGGCGAGTTACCGGAGAGGGAGGGAGGGGCGATGGAACTCACAGCATCAGCTCAGCACGCCACTCTTTGTCCTCCTCCTTAGTCTGATTTAACACGTTAACAATCTGGCAGAGGCTGGCAATGAGGTGGTGGCGGTATCCAGGCTTGAGAAACGGCCTCACCATTCGCCAGTAGAGGACTGATGCATTATAAACCAAAAAGTAATACCTGTGAAGCAAGAGGAGGAAACGTGGTCAACCCTGGCTTGCCTGGGCCACACACTCAGGGCCCCCATTTACCAGAGAGCCCCCTCCCGGGAGGGAATCTCCATCCTCTCTGTCTCCAGCAGACAGCAGCAGCCTGGCTGACATCCCTCAGCTCTCCTCCAGGACAGCCAACAGCGGCCAGAAGTTCAGGCTCCGCCCCCACCAGGCCACAGTGGCCCGGTCACATGATTAGAGCCCCTCACTCCCCAGTCAACCCACAAACTGATCAACGATTGACCAACCAAGGAGCAGTGACCCTGAAAACACACCAGTGAACTCGGCCTCCCCTGCCTCCCCAGGGGCTTGCAGTTTGTGGGGGGACTGTAGGCAAGAATGGGCAAGCACGGTGGGGGGTGGTCACGGACGGCTTCCAGAGGGGTCACATCTCCTCTGTGCCCTGAGAGATGACCAGGGGTCAGGTAGGGGAGGAGCCGGGGAGAGGGCAAGGTGATGGAGGTGGGAGAGCAGGACATGGGGGGGCACAGTTGTCCCCTGTGCCTGAGTAAAAATGCAAAGTGGGGGAACTGGAGAAGAGACACGAGGGAGCCACCTGCCAGCAGTGTGGGTCCCCCAGGGCAGTGGGGGCCACTGGAGGGCGCCACTGAGGGAGAGCGTCCTCAGAGGACCTCAGGGATCTGAAGATGTCCTCCCGGCCGTGAGGTGGACACCTGCTGCCCACAGCCCAGGAAGGAGGGAGGACCCCAGGGGTGCTGGCCGCCAAGACAAGCCCTCGGCAGAGCAGGGTTTTATTCAGAGCTGTGGGGCTACTGGGACAGGGTTAGCTTTTCCTGGGAGGAGCGGGCACAAGGTGCTGTGACCAGTGCAGGCACTGACCACCAGGCGTGCTGGGCGTCTGTCCTGGGCAGCCAGCATCCCCTTTGCCTGGAGGGACCAAGAGTCGTGCCTGTGACTGGCCGTGTCTCCTGAGATGGCTGTGATGTCCAGAATGGAGCCCCTCTTCTCCCCAGCAAGCTGCTGGGTCCAGCCTGCCCACCTGGCTGTGGCCGTATGGGCTCTGGCTCTGCCGCTCCCTTCCCACTGCCCCAGGCGGCCCAGGGCCACACCCTCTCCCTTGGTGGGCTGGAGCCTCCTTCCAGCCCCCTTCTCCCTGCCAAGCCGGTCTCCACACAACAGCCAGGCTTCTTCCAGGCTCCGGCCCCTCTGCAGGCCCCCTAGGGCCCTGGGGTTAGAGCATCGACCACCCTCTCAGTGCAGTGCCCACCTCTCCTGCTCCAGGGCTCTGGGGCTCTGGGGCTCAGCTCCCCCTGGAAACACCCGTTGTCCTTAGAACCTTGGCTGAGCTGGCCTCCTGCATCCACCCAGCGGGGCCACCCACGGCAGGGGCTGGCCAGAGCCGGGCTCAACAGATCAGCAGTTAACGGCAGAATGAATGAATGAACCTACAGTTTAGGTCTCCTTTAAACGTCACATCCTATTTAAATGTGCTGTATTAATACCAGTCTGTACACAAGCATAACAGTTTCAATAATGATATTTATTTTTAATGACCCCAAACCAAACCCTTTGTCGTCGAGTCGATTCTGACTCATAGTGACCCTATAGGACGGAATGGAACTGCCCCATGGGATTTCCAAGGAGCAGCTGGTGGATTGGAACTGCTGCCCTTTTTTAGTTAGCAGCTGAGCTCATTTTTGATAAGGAAATCATTAACTGAGTAGAAAACTGCTTGAGTCCCAGCAGCTGTTCTGCAGACAGGAGGCCTTGGCCAGGCAGTCCACCAGGGGGCAGTATAGACAAGCGGGGGGCACCACCCAGAAGGAAACCATGGCCCGGCCACTCAACACCCATCATACCGGACACAGAGGCGTGTCTCAGGTGCCCAGACAATGAGAACACGTCCTGGGGACTGGTCACAAGGGGCCGATAAAGGAAGCAGGCTCAAATCAACTGTACAAAGCCGTGGACAGGAGAAGAGGACACAGCTCCAAGGGAGTTTCACACAAACGAGCCCAGATGCCACGTGGTGGAGATGAGTCTTCAGTCACACGCGCGACAGAACCACACAAACAAAAACAAGAGAAAGAAACCCCACAGCCCAAACAGGTAGGAGCAGTCTGCGAATCCCGGCTCTAACGTTTTTAGATAGTCACTTGGGGACAGCTGATTCGGCCAGACCTACCTGGGCTCTCCTTTCGCGAAGTTTATCGTCTTCATGTACTCGGTCACACAATTATTGAACTCCTCCTAAAACAGCGGCAGGAATCCACGGTTACATTAAACTCACCGTTGACACATCACGCACGCTCAGTCATTCCGTGAATATTAAACCTCACGAAGGTTGGCCTGGCGCCCGCAGTTCGTGGACGGTTTATGAACGGGCACCCTGGCACAGAGGACAGTGTGTGGGTGGGTGCCTCGGGGTCTCTGCCCACCTCACCGGTGGCTGGGAAAATGAATTTAGTCTTTAACTCTGTATTGCTTTAAAATATTCTAAGAGTTGTCTAGCCTGACACAAGTTTTGAAGTAGGGTAAAAATTTAACTTTTCTCATATGGAATTCTGAGGAGAGTCGAGGCAATCTTAGGAAAAAATCTACGTCGTAGGACAAACGATGAAGCATCCGTTTGAGAAGGGCGGACCAGCAAAGGCTTGCCCTTCAGTCACCAGGAATATCCAGATTATACGGTAAGGGCTTCCTAACTCAAATGCACTGGCGTGTGAGGGGTGGTGTTGCGGGGGAAGTCCTCGGCCGCAGCCCCTGAGCAGGCGCCCGGGGGGGACGGCTGGCTCACCAGGTTCTCAGAGGACCGTGGGGCGCACAGCTGGGCTCGGCACAGGTACGCCCGGCCCCGAAACTGGGTGACCGGGCCCTTGACCTTGAAGTACATCTGGATGCAGTCCTCGCTCACGTCCGGCTGCCCCATCTGGAAGAGCAGGCGGCCGTCAGGGCTGCGCAGAGGTGCTCTCACCGCGCACGGGGACTCCCGCTCTGAAAGCGGAGCGCGGGGAGGTGCTGCCCCTGGACCCGCGCCTGGGGGCGGCCGCTCTGTCCAATCCCCAGGCCCACGGCCCGCGCCAGCTCCTGGCCCAGCGGTGGGCGCCCCCTCTCCTCTCTGGGACCACGGGGTCCAGGAGACCTGGGTCTCGGACTCACCTTGAAGGCCTGCTCTGCACACAGGACGAACAGGTCCGGGCTGAAGCTCTCCGAGGGGTCGAACTCGGATTTTCCTAGGTTGGCAGATTTAATCAGCTCGTAAGCCTTCCTCAGGGAGGCGGCGTCTGTGGAGACAGGAGTTGGGGAGATTGGGCCGGGAAGGGTATACAGTGGTCAGGTCACGGGCAGCCACCGCGTCCAGGAGCACCGGGGAGGACCGTCCCTCCAGCCGGACCAAGAGGGCCCTGGGGTCAGGCGGGCGTCGGGGGAGGCCCCTTCTGCCGCCCCCCAGGGCCTGGAACTTCCAGGAGAAGCGAGGAGGACACACGCGCCGCTCCCTTCTCACCGGCCCGCACCGGCTCACCCCCGGCTCAACCCTGGTCCCCTCACGCCCACCCGGGAGCGCAGGTGGGCGAGGTCTGCGCCTCCGGAAGAGTGGGGCGCGGAAAACGCCCGCGGCACCACTTAGCTCGCTAGGTGCCCCCCTTAAAAACGCCTTAGTTTAAACCCGGCTCTGGTCAAACAGATTCGGGAAGTGCGAGGACTCAGGGCCTCGAGGGCGCACGGATCCGCGGGGGCGGGGGTCGCGGCGGGTCCCGGGGTCTCCTCGGGGCGGGGGTCGCGGCGGGTCCCGGGGTCTCCCCGGGGCGGGGGTCGCGGAGATCCTGGGTCTCCCCGGGTTGGGGGCTTCGGCAGGTCCCCGGGTGTCCCAGGGGTGGGGGTCGCGGAGATCCTGGGTCCACCTTGCTGGCTCTCGGCGTAGGCCAGCTGCTGTGTGATGACCAGGTCCATGGCGCTGGTGTCCGAAGTTCGGGGTCCCCAGCGCACCCCACTCCCGCCCGTGGTTGGTCGGTGTCCTAGGCCGCTCGGACCAGCGGTTGCCTAGCGACGGGAGGGACGCGGCGCGACCTACGGGTCGGCGGTGGGGCCAAACTTGGCCGCCGCTCAGCTTCAGTGGGTCCCTGCTTTTCCTGGCCGCGCGATAGGGACGGGGCGGGG